CCAGTGTAACATCTTTTTCCATGTCATTCTTGTAGCCTGTCATTTTTAAATCCACTTTCAAGTCGGTCTTGATCTTGTCAGGTAGAACTTGTTCCTCTTCTGTAACATCTTTTAAATACAGTCTATCTATAGAGGCAGACACTCTTTAAATTAACTTCAGGGTCCATAGTTCAAAAATATCCTTCAGTATGTCCAATGTTAAAATATTTTGCTTCATTCTGTAATTGTAAGTCGAGTGAGTGTTGTTTTCCTTTAATTATAATCTTTAGTTCCTTTTAGTTCCCTCTAGTGTCCAATTTTTTAAGTCTTATTTTACTATGTTTTTTTTTAATTGAAAACAAAAGCATTTTCCCACAGGAAGGATTCTTTATAATTAATTCCAAAATCTTATTACACATTTTTCTGGACCCTTAGTCCATTTGTAACTTTCTAAAATCAACGTTTTAATCACCCTTTTGCTATTTATTCAAAAAATATTTTTTTTTTTAAGTCCTTAAACCTGTAGTTAAGACTTCTTTCACTAAGGATTGAAGGAAACTCACCTGGTGCTGTAAAACCTGTCAGTCCAAAGGTTCCTAATAGCTGAAAAGCTGTTAACAAGCAATTTCCAAAAGTGATTAGAAAAGGAACTTAGTGTCCTTTCACACAGCTTGAGCAATTTAGCCATTCTAACTACAGCTTAGCAATTTAGCCATTCCCTCGCCTCCCAGAGCTCTAAATCCACCAGAGACCAGTGTCTTGTGGTCTCCTCATGAGGAGCAACTGTCTGGAGCACTTGTAGACGATATCAAGTCCTCTCCTTGTCTGGAGAGGAATTATCAAAGAGCCAGTCTATTCACTGGCTCTTCATTCCGCCACGGTCATCAGCTCCACTTTTTGTGGACACTTCTTCAACCCACCATTTCTTCCCTGGAAGCCAGACAATTTCTTTTGTATATCCAGTAAAGTGTCCTTTTCCAAATTATTCTCTTGGCCTATCATTTGTAGTTCCACATTCTGTACCTTATCTTATCAAATAAAATTTGTTTCATATGTGTCATTCCTTCATTAATGTTTTTTAGACATAGTCTATCCATAGAAGCAGATATCATGACTGACAGTGTTGAATTTATAGTTACTAACTTCTGGCTCCTTTAATATTTCTGATGTTATAACATTTTATATCATTCTGTAAGTCACAGTATTAATTGACATCAGGCTTTGTATTTTTTTTTTCTTTGCTTAAAATCCCTAGTCCCCTCTAGTGTCCAGTTTCTAAAATCATCATTTATCTTTTGGTATGACTTGCAGTTGCTGGAATAACCAAAACAAGACTGTCTCCCATAAGAAACTGTTTTATTTTTTATAGTTAATTCCAAAATCTTACAGTAAAAGTCAATATTCCACATTTATCTGGACCCTTAATCTGTTTATAACTTTCTTAGATTCTTAGATTCTCTTTCTTATTTAGCTTTTTGCTGTTTATTTTAAATTCTTTAAGTTCTTAAGCTTGTAATTAATTTTTCTTTTGTTCAGAATTGTAGATAAACTCACCCAGTGAAGACTTTTCAAACCTGTCATTCCAAAGGTCTCTAATAGTTTTAGAATAGTTAATAGGCAATTTCCAAAAGTGATGAGAAAGTAAGGTTTGCAAACTTAATGTCCTTTAAAAGTCTCTGCCTCAGTTCCGAACAAGATGGCTGATCCTGTTGTCTCCCAGTGCTCAAACCCATGGAAGCCCACTGTCCGGTCGTCTTGTGAGGAGCAGCTGTCCAGAGTACATGTAGGCAATCTCCCCTAATCGGGAGTGTTTACAAGGGAGTGGTCTACTCCCTGGTTCCTTGGTCTTTGCCATGGTCGATTGCTCCGCTTTTGTAGAGGCATTTGCAG